GGAAGGAAGGAAGGAAGGAAGGAAGGAAGGAAGGAAGGAAGGAAGGAAGGAAGGAAGGAAGGAAACAATGGTTCTGGGAAATATCCCCATGCAGAAGAATGCAACCAGTTCTCATCCTATACCAAAACTCAGCTCAAAATGAACTGAAGACCTTAAGGGAAGATGTAAACTCTCAAAGTGCCACATCAGAATAAGGAATGGGCTCAGGAACAAGGAGCATTTCTAAGGACCCCAGCCTCAGTAAACAATCCCAGCACTGGTAAATGAATTACATAAAATGAAAAGCTTCTGCATAGTAATGGGGACAGCAAAGTGAATGGCCTACAAGATTAGGAAACCTTTGTCAGCTGCACACTGGACAAGGGCTTAATATCTCAAACCTATAAAGAGACCAAGAAACTCAACACACACAAATATATACACTAATCAAAAGTCTTAGTACAAATAACTAATAAATAACAGAAAAAATATTCAATACCCTTAGGCATTGGGGGAAGGCAAATAAAAACTATATTGTGATCCTCTACCACCTGTGAGAAAATTAACATTAAAAAAATAAACTGAGGAAAATGGCTCAATGGGTAAAGGCATTTACTAACAAATGTGACAAGTGAATTCAGTCCCCAAGACACACATGGTATAAAGTGATCATACTCCTACCAAATGAATTATGATTTCCATATATATGCCATGCACACAGGGCTCTCTCCTCCTCCCTGTCTCTGTTCCCCTCTCCTTAGTACAATTTTTTTTAAAGAAATATAAGGCTGCAAATATTGGCAAAGGTGTCATGGGAAAAAGGAACATTTACACAGTGATGGCAAGAAGTAATTTAAGGTAGCCACTAAGGAATTCCACATGGTGGTTCCTCACAAACCAACAAAAAAACATAAATACTGCAAGATATTGCTAGGTGTACGTATGTTTGGAACCAACATCCTACATAAAATGTCAGGCACAGTGATGTGTATCTAGAACAACCCTGGAATTTGGGGAGGTGGTTAAGGACAGGTAGGTCACTGAAGCTCATCAGGCAGCCATGAATTCCAGCTTTGATCAAAGACTGTCTCAAAGTGCAGAATTACTGAGAAAGACATCTATAACTTCTGATCTCCAAACACATAACATTCACAAAAAAACACATGTACAAAAGAACAAAATTTTGTTATTTGCAGGGGGAAAAAAGTAAAAGAAACAGACCATCAATTCTACAAAAAATAAGTCAGAATCAGAAAGACAAACAGCATGTTTCCTCTCATTTATAGAGTCCAGAATTTTTTATAAACACGCATGTGATATATGCCCATACACATCATGAAAATAGAAATAGGACTAATTTGCTAAGGAGAATTAGGAGAAGGTAATGGATAGAAAATATGGCCAATGTACTTGATAGGCTCAAATGGTGAAGGCGCTCAGTATACTGAACAAAAATGTCAGTTTGAAACTGATTCCTCTGAAATAAATACACATTAACACATTTTTAAAAATAAAAATAAGTAAGTCTTATGGCAGAGTAATCCCATGCCTTGACTCACTACCCACATTTGCCACTGCCTATATAAATCAAACTGGAAAGTCTCAGTTACCTCAACTGCAGAACAGAGATAATTCTACATCCTACTAAGTGTCATGAGAAATCTAAAAATAATGTATTCCAAGTCCTTAGCCAGACTTGGCATATATTTGTGTCACTTACTGAGTCCTGCAGCTGCTACCAGTACTACTTAAGAAACTGTAATCACTGCCCATATGCCAGTCAATAAAAGATAAAAGAAATATTATTATTGCTCTTTTGCTTAATTACAAATGATTGGATTCTTGATTTTAAAAGTATTATTGGCAACCTCTGTACAAGAGATTGTACATAGTCACCAAACAGCAGTAAGATCTTATCTTCACAGAGCTTGCAGCTTCATGAGTGAGCTAATAGAAGCAAATACAGGAATAAACTAAGGAGGCTGGAGATAAAGCTTAATTAGGAACTTGCCTAACTTTTCACAAGACACTAACTCAATCTCAAACACACAAACAAGACTGAACACAAAAGGAACACATTAATAAAAACTGTGAATACAAAGAAAACTATCGTTTAAAGGAAATATTTAGAAAATGCCTAAAAGAAAATGACATTTGAATTGAAAAGGAGCCTGCTTGTAAAGCACAAGTGAATGAACTAGAATGTGAGCAAGTACCAAAGGCAGGCTTCAAAAGTTATGGAAATGAGACAAAGCAAATGTGTGAGCCACAGGGAGGAATGGCAAGAGATGAGGCCACATGCATGCATCAAATGCATGCATGTGTGCATACATGAGGGAAGGGGGTTCAATAGGAACCTTTCTGCAATGCTAAGTGTGTTTGTTTGTTTGTTTGTGTGAGGAAGACTATGTTGTCCAGGCTGTTCTTAAACTAAACTTCTAGATTCACCTGATTTTACCAATTCTAAGTAGCAGGAACTACAGACATTCTATCAACATGCTATTCTGACACTGGTGATACAGAATCTCAATTAATTTGCAAAGCATATTGAATGTCTGGTTTTTCCTCCCAAATATTTAAGTGTCATCACAAAGTCCAATAACTTTTAAGCCAGAAAGTGACATATCTGATTTTCAACTGGTATCTTTTGCAAGGAAAATTAGGAGATTTAGACGGTAAATAAAAGGACTTTGAGATGTGGTAGTACACACTTTTAATCCAGAAGGGGGAGCAATGGCATCCATATCTCTGGTTTGGGGTTCTGCCTGGAATACATAGTGAGCTTCAAACGAGCAGGAGCCCAAAACAGCTCAGAATTAGTAAAAAGTCCTTCTCAAATTATGTGATTTAAATGAGAGCTTTTTTTTTTCTTCTTATTGCCTTACTCCAATTCAAGGCTGAGTAGAAGGGGGTAGTAACAATTAATAAATTGACTGAATTAATTGGATTTTGAAAAAGATGCCTGCTACAGTTTCTACCATGTGTCTTTTGGAGGACAGAACAGAAACAGAAGGCTAGCAGACTGATACACTGTGATCTGCTGACTACAAGATGCTAATTTAAGGAAATGGTGGGTCTTAAACTGTGATAGAGTCAATGAAGTCAAACAGTGAAGGAAGAATGAAGAAAGAGAAAATCTGACAACCCCCTCAGATCTATGAAGGGTAAAATGAATATGAAGAATGCCTACTAAGATTGTAAAAACAGAGTTAATAGTGGTGCTGATTACTTAAGCATAAAAAAGAGATCTTGGTAGGGGAGGGGCAGGAAAGTTTAAATTTGTTTTACAACACCTATAACTTATTTTCATGTAGAAATAAAAGCTAATATTGTTACTATCAGGTGACAAAGCTAGAAGTCTAACTGAAGATGAAATATACATTTTAAACTATAGGATGGTCATAGAAATATTCCATCCAGCACATTATTTATAAGCTGAATAACTAATACCATAAGAAATTTAAATGAGGAGCTGAGTGACAGCTCAGTAGTTAAGAGCACTATCTGCTCTTCTAGAAGACCCAGATTCAATTCCCAGCACCCACATGGCAGCTGTCTTTACCTGCAGCAGTTCCAGGGGATCTGACAGCTTCACACTGGCATACATGCAGGCAAAACACCAATGCACATTAGATAGACAGACAGACAGGAAAAAACGAATGAATAAATGAAAACATTAAGGAAAACTAGGAAAAAGGAAATTGAAATGAAATATACCAGCGTAACTCTCTCAACCTCACGAGTGTATTAAGCAAATATACTGGAGGTCATTTACTTAAGAAGGCTTCTAAATTATATTCAAACAATGTAAAGCTAGAAGGCTGGGCACAGTGGTATACATCTATCTTTAATCCCAGTAGTTAGGAAGAAGTTCAAGGACACCATGGTCTACCAAGTGAGTTTTACAGCTAGGATTACACAGTAAGAACCTATCACAAAAAAATAAAAATAATTAAACTAGAGAAGTTGAATGTAGTTAGTGATGCATAAAAAGGTAAGAGCAGGGCCAATGATTCAATCAGGCTATTTAAAAAAAAAAAAAAAAAAAAAAAAAAAAAAACCGAGATGCCAGTGGGGTTGTGGCTTATCTAAGACGTATTTTCTCAATGCACTAGAAAACAAATGACCAGTGTTAGCTAGCTACTTTTCAAAATTTCTTAAAGATCTGAAATTTTTAGTTAAACACTTTAAAAGGTGACATACATCTAGAGATTCTTCTGGTACAATATAACTAATACTTGACAAAGATAAGTTAAAAAATAAATATAACTGCTAAGAAATGGAATTCCATCCTTTAGGTCCCTAATCAAAGTGGAGACTAAGTGGTTCATTCCACATTTCCAAATGCTCTAAACCCCACCTAAAAGGATAGTATACTTCTATACTGCCCCCGTCTATTATATTAGACTATCAGGAGTGTTTGGGGTGTTCAATTTTTTCCCAGATTTTAAAAAATAGCAAATAAACATGATAGCAAATATTAAATTAGCAAATATTAAACAAGATCCCTTCAAATTGGGAAATATCATTTAACAAAAATAATTATAGTACAAATAAAGATTCTAAGCTACAACATATCAACTGCCACTGGTTCTTAAGGCCAATCTAGTACTGAAATCTAAACTTCTTTCAGAATGTTGGGTAAGAACTGTAGGATGCCATATATTGATGATGCCAAGTGTAATAAAGTATGTCTATAGTATCAATACTAGGAAAGCTATTGCAGGAGGTTCAACTTTGAAGCAAAACTCTTATCTCAATTCAACAATAACCAAGAGAGTAAATGGCAAGGCATGATGGTGTGTGCTTGAAATGCTAGCACTTGAGACAAGATTCATGGTGTAAGAGTTCATGGTCAACTTCAGTTACATATTAAGACTAGTCTAGGCTACAGAATATCCTGACTTAAACAAGAACAACAAAAGGAATAAATGAAAGAAGAAATCTCACATGCATGGGAAGGAGAATATCTGAGATATTATATTTAGAGTAGACTAATTCCTTCCATTGTTCAAACCTTCAGTGTTCTTGGGTAGAGCACATGAAAAAGAAGCATAGGATATTAAGAGTTGAAATTTTCAGCACCTGATATTTCACATATGATTGTCATGGTAAATAGAACGCAATCCTCTTCTTATTAATCTGTTGTTCTAAAGAAATACCCTGGACAAGGACAAACAAGTTGGCTCAATAGAACAACCCTAGTTTGATCCCCAGAACTCACAGAGTAAAAAGAGAAAAAAACAACTCCCCTAAGTTGTCCTTTGACTTATATATGTGCTCTGTGGAATGCACAGTGCACACATACATATGCACAAACACTGAGGAAAAAACTAACAAAGGCAATCTAAGGAAGAAATGATCTATTTTGGCTTGCAGTTCCAAAGAGTGTGTCTTCCCATTATAGCAGGGAAGACATGGTAGCAGACACGGGAGGTATGGAGGTCAGTTGGTCACACTGCATCCACACTCTGTAGGTACACAGTGAAAATGAAGCAGGGCCAGGATAGCAAGGCTCAGGGCCCATTCTCCAGTGTCTTTCCTCAACCCATGAAGATTCCACAACTTTCCCAGTATTCAGATACATGACTATCAGGACATTTCACATTCAAACACCAACACCCTTAACTTCCATTCTAGAAACACATTCAGGTAAAGTGACTTATTACATATCAGCAACTTCCTTCTCCTCTTTTGTTTAGTATACTCATTTTGAGAAACTCTGAGTTCATATTAATTCACAGAATAAAAAACTGGATGAACATCCTCAAGGTGATTTCTTTGTTGTTATACCTTTTTTGTAATTTCTGGATCTCTTATGTGATATCATTAGACTGACAAACCACAACTTCATATCCTTCTCTTCCAAAGAAGCTACACAACTGCTTCTATAATGTACCTGTACTTCATGGACACTATATTCTTTGGACCCAGAGTCATCTGTCACTCCACTAAAATTACTCAAACTAATGTCCCCACGGTGTAAGTTTACATGTTACTGTTATACATGTCCCATAACCTATTTTACTCATAGTTTCTGTGATGGTTGATCTCAAATCACCTAAGAGACATCCAGTTATGTCTGAGAAACTGTTTAGGTGAATCATGTTAGCCTCTGGAAATGTCTATAAGGGATTATCTAAATCACAGTAACTGAGGTAAGAAGACAAACTCTGAAAGTGGGTGGCACTATTTCAGGAACTAGGATCCCATACTGCATGAAAGGGGAAAGCTAACAGAGCACACTATTCACCTCCCTCTGCTTCTTGACCATGGATGCAAAGTAACCATCTTCCTCAAGGTCCAGCCACAGAAACTTGACGCTCTCTCCCTTCCTTCCTTCTTTCCTTCCTTCCTTCCTTCCTTCCTTCCGCCAGATAGTTTATGGCAAAAATAAGTAATAAGACTTTAACTTAAAGTGAGGAAAAGATAGTACAGTAAATAATATTAAAAAACTAGACTTTGGGGCAAGAGAGATGGCTCAGTGGTTGGGAGTACTGGCTGTTCCTTCAGAGGTCCTGAGTTCAATTCCCAGCACACACATGGTGGCTCACAACCATCTATAGTGGAATCTAATGCAGATAGGGGACTCATATAAATAAAGAGATAAATAAAATATTTTTAAAAACTAGACTTAAAATTCATTTTAACTTCTTTATGGTTTTCTGCTAAGAATATAAAGATTAATGATGCTGGCAAAGTTTAATAAGCATTTTGTGTATATTACCACAGTTTAAAACCCTGCTTAAAGAATACTAATGATTAATTTGAAGGAAAATAGCCTTTCATTATATTTTAAGTGAAACAATGATCTCTTCAGATTACTATACATTAAAAACATTCATTTTTATGACCATCTAGAAAAAAAGTCAAAATTTTATATTTTTACCTGGTCTAGGTACAGGTTGGGCTGCAGGAGTTTGAGTCTTACGGGCAGATGCACCTTCCTTTAAAAGATAAAAATTGATGCATGACATCAAAGTTCATTTACATAACAATTAAATACTTTCAAGAGATCGGATATTGCTCTTCCATTCAGTCATTTGGCCAAGGCCAGTAAGTTTAAAAGCAAAATATCTAAAAGGCTGAGACAGGAAGACTGCTATGTGTTTGAGAACAGCTTGAACTATACAGTTGAGTTCTAGGCCATTCTGAGTTACATGAGATCCTGTCTCAAAAAGACCCCTGACCCTAAAAATATCTACCACTGCCACAGCCAGAGCCACTCTTAGAGCAATGCCTTGTCTTCTGTGATGAACTAGATCCTAAAACCATGAGGCAAAATAAGTAAACAAAAGTCCTACTTAGCTTTTATACTATTTTTAGCAAGGTATACTAATGGAGAAATTTAATGGAAATTTACGTTGTTACCAAGTAATATTCTAAAAATGTTAACATTTTCAGAAATGGTGCTACTTGACTATTCTTTTTAACTTTTGAAATTTATTTTGAAAGAAGTGCTGGGGATCAAGCGTAAGGCCATGTATACATCAGACTTCCTGTCTATGACTGAGACGAATTCTAGTCTACCTATTTTAAAGTCAACTCAAACCTTTTTCCTCTAAAAGGCAAAAATGGTAAGTGACACATAGTCTCATGTTAAAAAGATATAATAACACTTTTTGGTGCATCTTAAAAGCAGGTAACTATTTCAAATAATTAAATGTCTTTAAAATAACCAGGAAAAATGGGCCAGTATGATGGCTTGACAGGTAGGCTTGCTACTAAATCTGACAACCTGAGCTCAATCCCCTTAACACACTTGGTGGAAGGAAAGATTCCTGTGTGTTTTCACCTCCATATGCATTGCCCACACACACAAATAATAAATGAAAAAAAATTAAATATTCAGGAAAAGCATATTTACAAACATGAGATTTATTGTATTTAAACTATAAGCAAATAAGAATTTTTTTAAAAAGTAAATACTAAATCTCAATTTCTGAGATACACTAGGAGTAGAAAATATACTAAAAGGTGAAGTATACTAAGGAAGAAACATGCAATAGTTTAGTTAATATCTGCCTTTTGTGTAATGTTTTCTATTATATTCATGACAGTTTTTAACAAACTTTTCTTTATAGAAAACTTCACATATAAGCTTCAAACCCATTGCTGCATGGAGACTTTATCCTTATTGCATTCAACAGAAGAGAATTGACAAGTATTAAGATCAGTATGGCTCCACAACCAAAATCACTGTTGTTATCACAAGGAACACTTAAAAATACTAAATGTTTATTAAACTTTGACATTTTACATGGAAAATAAATTGGAATTGTAAAATATCCCACAGCAATTTTAAAAACCTAAATGAGGGAATACCTTCACTGTTAGTATAACAGTACTCCTAGCCTTCAGTTACAATGCCACAGAAATCATTCTTTTTTAGAGAAAAAGACAACAGCTACAGTATTAGCAAAAAACTCCTTGGAGTGGACTCCAAGCACAGGCAGATACCAAGTTATCTTTCTGAAATAAACTCTCTTCTAGACAATCAGTGGACACATTGTATCTAGTAGCTATTCTAAGAGCTGACTTTACTCACATATTCATTTTGTGAAAACCTGTGAAGCTTATTTACCATAAGATTATCGTCTTCTAAATAAATTATATTCAAATTAAAACTTAAATGTAAATGTGAGCTATCGCTAAAGTGAAATTTTCTGATTATATTTATCTCTAAGATCTTCTTCAAAGACTTATTTTATTCTTCTTTGTAATTCCACTGCTTAGAACTCAGTAGGCACCAATCATTGATTGACTCAATGTAATGGTGATTTTTTTTCTTTAAGTGAAAATAGACCAGACAAAAGACTAGAACTTGGAAGCAACACAAATAAAACAAAACAAAACAAAATTCCTTTTCTCCATTGAAAATAACATACAGGAATTTTTGTCTGCTTTTAATAAGCCCAAACCTTGATCCCTTTAAATACAAATAATGCTTTCTGTTTGTGCAATGAGCAATCATTGCTTAATGAAGTAATCATTCCCTGGTCACAGGACAAAGGTTCCATTCCTTGGTCACAGAAAAAGGCACACACTCTAAACCAGGACAACAAAAGTCCTTTCTTGGGATTACTTCTTACAAATAAGAGCTAGCTGGTAAGAATTCTAACCATATCCTTTGACTCAAGAAGATAACTTACTGGCATAAACGACAAGAGTAAGTAATAAATACATATAAAAAGAATACAGTTCCCTTTGTTAACACTTATTACCTTGTCCTACTGGCATTCAACTTCTACTTTTTCTTTAGTAATTCTTCCTAACATTAATCATCAAATTCCCTCGTCTCACTGCATACTGCACAATCTTTTAGCTTCAATTTGTTGTATCAAATTTGTGAGTTACAAAAGATTTATCTATGTTGTCTTTTTCAGTTTATGCAAATTGAGTTGTCTGAATCACTACAGTATAGTTTTGGTTAATTTGAATCCATACACAGTTATAGAATGTGACACAACAGTACTTGGGGAACAAGACAAAACTAGGAAAACACTTACTGTCACATTAATTTATAGCAATTTTCAGGGATCCCTAACAAATGCTAATAAAAAAACAACTTTACATTTGGATCTCTCCATTGCTCTGAAATTGCTTACGAAATCTAAGAAATGGTATAGCACAATTCTACCAATCACTACCTTAAAGATGAAAAGGTGAAATATTTTCAAAGGTATACAGCTGGTATATCTGACATGAATTAACAAGAACAGTAATTTTGCAGCAAAAATAGACTGGCAATACTGTTGTTTTTTGTTTGATTGGTTGTTTTAAAGATATTAAGACTGCTGAAAATGGTCATGAAAAGAAAGTTCTCAGCAGAAACAACCAAAGGAGGTGACAAACTGTGCTAACTGGAGAGGAAACCTGCTGGGGGGGGGGGGTGATTCTAGCATCACAGCTGCATTAAGACATGAGATATTTTGGGTAAGTTAAAATGACTCAATTATATAGAAGGAAAAAACAGTGACAGAGCTACATTTACATTTCCAAGATATAAGAAAGAAGACAAAGTAAGGTATGTTGTTTACAAATAACCTTGCTTGTTTTGTTTTAGTGAATGAGATAAAGATCTTCTCTGGCACTGGGAAATGAGTATCTGCTGCTTATACAAGTAGGCAAAGTATCTGCCAGGTGGTAACACACATCTGAAGTTACTGACATTGGTTTTAATAGCTTTAATTACATGAACCTGAAATACTGAAAGTCTTAATGAAGAAACATACAACATATTTTGAAAATTCTGTTAACTTGAGGACTAGAGAGATGGTTCAAAGATTAAGAGCATGCACTGTTCTTATAGAAGACACAATTTCAGTGCTCAGAAACTACTTCAGTGGCTCACAACTGTCTACAATGCCAGCTCAGGAGGATCGAATGCCTCTGGCCTCCAAGGTCACCTGCACTCATATGTACATAAACACAAACACATAATTTTAAAATAATAAAAAATAAATCATTTTTAAAAATAAACTAGCATAAAGTTATACTCATATATTTTCACCTTTATCAAAGAAAGCTATTGCTATGAAGTTTGGATTTAAAAATTGGAACTCTTAAACAGAACAATACTGGAACATTTGAATTTCAAGTACATTAAATAGGGTTTTTGCTGGGGATTCTGTGGTTGTTGTTTTGAAAAAACTGCTGTCAATAGAATAATGGGCTGAAGATGTGGCTAGTGAGTGAAAAGCCACCATTCCCAGCAGATGAGCCATCCTGGATTCAGTATCCACTATGTATTGTGGGTGAGCATACTTGACACAGCCACATTGGAGAAAATCTTTTTTAAAAACATATGAACTCACTTTTTGTCAACACACAAAATGGTTAACATGATTAAAAAGCATAGCATTTTCCTCTGTTAACATGCAAATAAAGGGCTCTCGATTTTGAAATTTTTCATATCCAACAACTCTCTCCAGGACATAACTAAGTACTTAAATACCCAGGTCATGTTCTTGTCCAACCTCAAAGCAAAATGATAAAGTGGTACTGTGTCTATTTTGTGGGTGAAACTATTAAACTAAAAATAAGTAACTTTTCCTTAGTGTCCACATCACTAAGGACAAAACAAATGAGCTGTTTTTATTATAAAGTGTGCTCTTAACTGCTTTAAAGACTTCCAGGATAACCTGAACTTTTTTCTCTTTCATTTTTCCTCCTCCCATAAGGAAATGTCCCATTTTGTAACCTTTTAATGGAACACTGGGAATTCTAATCAGAGCAACAAGTAAGGAAAAAGGCACCCAAGAAAGGAAGTAATAAATATTTTTCAGTTTGAAAGGTAGCTCCTTTGGTGAAGTGTTTTTTGCGAAAGTTTGGTGTCCTAAGTTCAGATTCCAATACCCATGGTAAAAAGCTAGGCATGTAATTCTAATATCAGGAAGGAAACGACAGGAAGATGCTTGGAGGTTACTGACCAGCCAGGATTGATTAAATAAATAAATAAATAAATAAATAAATAAATAAATGTTAAAAAGAAGACATCAAACCTTGACCTCTAGCCTCTACATGCATATACACACACCTGCATGAGGAAAGGAAGAAGGGAAGGAAGGTAGGGAGGGAGAGAGTGCATGAACACATAAGTGACCAAGTTCATACCCAACAGCAAGTGAACTCATATAGGGCTCCCAAAGGTTTTACAGGAATAGAACCTATCCTAAAATTCACATACAATCATAAATAACTTGAAATAACTAATATTAAAAAGAAGATACAAGTTATAAAACTAAAACTTTCAAATTTCAATACTTACTACAAATCTATAGTAATGACAACAATACATTAATAAGATAAAGACAGACAGTAGAGTTTGGTGGAGTGGGAAATAAAATTCTCCCCTTAACAAGAGTGCCAAAATCATTTCAGAAAGAACAGTCTTCAAAGAACAGTGCTGGAAAAGGTGGTATCAAATTGTAAAATGAATGAATAC